GACGCGTTGACAGCGGCAGGGACGGCGTGACACGCCTATAAAATTGCTTCTCCGATACCTCGCGAGCACACACAGGAGACAATTTTCGGGGGGGTGTGAAAAATATTAATAACTCCGGTGTTGCAGTAAGGGACGAAGGGCTTCCGAGAGTAAGGGATGGCATAGAGAGTCGGAGGACGGCGAGGCGGGTGGCTGGGCCCGGAGAAGGGGGTGGCAAGTGTTTCTGTCAGTTTAATAGCTTCGCGCGCCTCCCCCACTCCTTTTCGCCCCACGGTCTCACCACCCTGCACGCGCACACTTTGCCACACTGACGTTACGGCATCGTCACTCTACGTGTCAAAAGTTCCGCGTGCGAGCACCTCCGCTTAGATCTGATAACCCTTTGATACTCGTTATTTATTGGTCACCCCTAATCCCGTACAACATCATCGACGAACTTAACATCTTACTATGTCTCTTAAACATTGTTCCATAATCGAAATACTGCAGACTTTGTATTTATTAGATTTAGAATAAACAATAATCTACATTGTACCAGCTAGTTGAAGCAGTTACCGAAACAAAATGTTCAATTCGCTCTTCCAAGAAGAATCACATATGTATATCATATTTATCTCGTGTCAGCGAATTTATAAACAAGGCTGAGAGGAAGACGGAGAATGAGACGATATCTACATTGGCAGGTCAAGGGAGGAGGGAGACATTTTTATGCCGGTGTAAATCAAGCCAGCCAGCCAAATATTGCGCGGACGAACGTTGAATGAGCGAAGGGTAACCCAGGCTAGCCATAAAGAATGATATAACTGCGCGCGACACATGTCTTCCCGCTCGCGGAGCGTACTCATAACGCGGGCTTTCGTCTCGCGATTTTTCGCCGCGCGGGAAATGAAGATTTGTTCCCCGGCCATTCGTTTTCGCGCAGCGCCGAATTTAGATCGTCGCCTGCTGATGAAATAAAGGAATAACGGACGTCGCTTTTTTCTCTTTCCCAACGAACTTCCAGCTATGCAGTCCCGATTACAAAAATTTCCGTTGGACGGAAAAAATTTATTCAGAGTGACGTATACGAAATTCTACTCCTTCGAAAAGTCGATCTCTGGCCCACGGATACAAACCACAGGGTATTGTGAGTGAGGAAAAAATTTGACAGCTACTTGGGCGAAGAAAAAGGTGACCGAGTCTGTCTAATAAAGACTTCGATGGGTGTTCCACTGACCCTGACTCCGCGTGGGGTCCTTCTCTCCAACTTCCACGCGTTCGCATACTTCGATCGAGGGTTCGCGCAATGGAAAAAATTTTCTCGCACCCCTGAAGGCGAACGTGTACACGTTCCCAGTGAAAAACCATTGACAAAGTTAAAAAAATGATAATAAGAAATCGTAATTTTCTCCGATAACGATACTGTTATTTTAATAAAAAGATAAGATTGGTAATTGATAGATACGGTAATTTATGATGAACTGTGGTTCCTAGAAGGAACAGTAATGTTTTGGGAGCGTGTTCCTTTCGTTATCAGAGTCACGTTTCCTGATTCTTCTTCAGCCCCTTCCAGGGAGGCCAGCGGTGGTCTCTCATCGTCAGTCTCACTCGGCAACCGCAGCTCGTTCCTCCGACAGCGTGCGTATACTCTCGCCTCTCGTTCTCTCTTCTCTTGCTTGCACTCGCCGAGGGATGCTGTGGTAGACTGGTGGGGACCCTGAATGCGATAGGGGTTGCTCCGCCCGTGGGCCAACCAGAGGCCTCGATGGAAGCGACTCCGCCACACCCCGTGGATCGTCCCTTGCTTCCCTGGGGAACCCCTCGTCGTGCCATCCTCTTCTCAACAGATTTCGAATCCTCTAGTCTGCCAAGAGCCAGCTGACACGGAGCAGCGCTCTTCTCCTCGTCCTCGAGTCATTCGTTTCGTATTTCGATCGCGCCTCGAACCACGTTTTACCTAGAGACTGCTTACCCCCTGCGAGCAACCCCCCACAGTCTGCTCTTTACTCCGAGACTCGTCGCGACACTCGAAGCAGAGCGACACGAAACGCGTGTATCGATCGATAGATCATGGATTCGATCGCAGACGAAAAGAAAGGAAAAGTTGAACTGTGTTAATTATTAACGTGTCTTCGTGAGACTTTCTGTGATGAACCATGTGTGATAGACAGTGATTTTAATTCGCGTGCGAAGGACAAGCAAACTGGAGCCAATGAACGGTCTCGATCTGTCCAGACCTATGGTCGACTACAAGATGAATGGTAAGTCTTTGCAAGAAATTCGTAAATGACGGATGATCGAAGGTGAAGTGCTCGATAAAGTAATACCGTTTATACCTCCCGATGAACTCACAAAAATATATAAAGATAATCATCGTGCATCTATTTTTATCACGCGATTAGATATAATGGTCTGTCGATTTTATCTCACCTATTTCATTTAATTCTTTTCCATCACCAGTTGATTGTTTTGTATAAGAACGGTTCGTGTTATTAATTGTACCACGAAAGGCGTTATATCTTCGTGTACCAAGAGAAGGAAGCTTAACCGCAGTCTGTCCGGAAGCTGGCCCGCAGAGATTCTTCTGTTTGCCACTTATTAGTAATTTCATGGTTACCCTATCACTGCAGTGACTCTCCTCCATAAAGGCTACAATATGAAATTGGTCGAATTTCTAATTAATATCTATAGTTCATTGAAACATGATAGAGAAGAATTGATGATTATGAAATTCGATTCGTCAGTCGTGAGCGATTAGCGCTGCTAATGGGTGTTCGTTTTCCACCGTAGACTCCGTATCGCCAGGACGTCCTGTGCGGTCGGAGCAAACGCGCTACACGCGTGTGAATACATTTCACCCGTGCAATCGCTCTTCCTTGTCCGCCAATTTGCTTAATTATCTCTTCCGGGATCCGTAGAGGAATATCTCCAGCTAACTCTCTAGTTTCTCGTTTTCAAACCCAGCAAGATGTTTGAATCTTCAATCTCGGTTTAAACTTGGCTTGTGATTTTATTGAATTTCTACGAACTCGTGATTATCTTTTATACTAGTGTTTTTAAGAGTGTATTCCGGGGTAAGTTTCATAAAAGATATATTTCAATTCAAAAGGTCCGACAAAGTGAAAATAGAGCTGATGTCTTCCCACGATATTTAATTTTTTAACGCGAACCGACACTTCGCTCTAATCGAGTTGGAAGCCTCTCGAGCCGCTATCATCAAGGATAATATCGCTTATGGTTGAACAAGTACTCTATGTCAAGGGAGAAAGTGCTCGAGCACTCGTACGTCCCGGAGTCAAAGACCCCATGGGACGTCGAGAGTATTCCAAATATTGTTGTTGCACCGTATCGGTTATAGTCTCTCACAAAGGGATCTCAAGTTTTTCTAAGCTACCCCGTAATCTCGTTCGCGAACCTCTTCTTTGATGCCGGTGGCAAGGTGTATAAATCGTGTTTGTTTTATCGATCAGGCCAGATTTCCGTTTATCGTTCGAGGACTGAAATCGCGTCTTTATGATTATGTTCACCTAGATCCTGGAAGAGAGACGTTACGGTTCCCTATCCGAAAACGAGAGACACGATTCCTTTCAGAAAGGAACGCGATATCTCTGCGCTATTATCGTCCGTCCGCGAGTTTCGTGTCGACCGGGCTGACACGCGGGATCACCGTTTTCTTTTACGACTCGCGCTAACGTGACTCCCAGTATCCTTAATCCACTCTGTTGACTCTCTCGATTAGACCGATCTCGTAAAGCGGACACTTTTCATATTTTATTACGCGTCACCGATCCAAGGAAGATATCCGGCACTTGAAATATTCCTAACACAAATTCGACTATAAATGAAACTTTGGTGTACGGGGAATTGCTTTAAGAATGCACCTGCAAGGTTGTCGGCAATTTGCTTGGTGGATTCACAGAGGGCTTAACGGTGTTTGCAGAGGACTCTCGATCGTTGCAGGTCCCAGGTCCGTGTCATACTTACACCTCATAGTTTGCTTTTAGATAGCCGATACAACAGAGATATCTCTCGATTCGAAGATAAGTATTAAAAGGGTCTACTCTATCCGGTTTGGAGTTATACAAACGAGTCCAGATTCTGGGATGGTTCTTCGTTCATAATACGTTCAAAGGAATTTGAACAGATCACAGTGATTAGATTCGAATCTACTAAAAAATTTCTGTACGAGTTACGTAGTTGAGAAGTTATGCGCTTTCGCGCGATTTCATGGTACATCGAATGTGTACCTGTGGTAGGGGGGACAATAAAATTCGCTTATCGCGTCAAACATCCTTGGCCTCGGGTGTTGAATCGTACACTCGCGGCTCTGTGACTGGGAAACCGACCGAACCGTCGTTGTCGCGACGGGCCGAGAAAGATAGTGTCGTCCGATTGCACTTGCCCTTGTGTGTCTAGGATTTCATCACAAGGGGTACTAGACAAATAGTTTGAAATCGTATAGAAAAAGTGCGTGCATCGAAACTAATAGGACGATACAATCATTCAGATAAGGGACTGTTATTTTTAATTAAACAGTCAGTTTTCTGTAATTAAACTTTGTTCAAATAGACATAAAATCAGAAATGCTTCATTTATTCTAGTATTTTCTCTTCTGGAAAGTGACTTATACCACTTTGACTTTTACCCGCTCATATATTAAATAACTATTAAAAAATTCTATTACGAATTCCGTTCGATCTTCATGTTTGCACCACCCACGTATTATAGAAACTAGTTGAACAACGGATAGACTTCATTCTAGAAAATCGTCCACGGTTTCCACGGGAATGTGTGCCGATAGCGTCTATCTACCGCTTAAGCAACATTCGCTCCCTTTCCTATCGCAATTCCGCACGGGGGTAAATTGAATTTTTAAAGCGTCGACGCGCTCTAACCCGTTTCCCGAACGCAATCTCGCGTGGGCGGTGACCTTTCGATCGACTTTCGCACCTCCAACCTTACTTCCAGACGTTCTTTGACCTTAGACTCGATTTCATTATATGGGACGGTTTTGTTCTCAGGAAGCAGCGACGAAGGCGAGTCGACGTCGAGCACGCCGGCCGGAGGAGGCGCGGGGACGACAGCCGAGAGCCAGGAAATGGAGGAGAACGGCTCTATCCGTGGCAACAGTTCCTCGAACAACCCGGTGTACAGAGACGTGCCCCTGGATTACAACACCCAGTCGAGGCCTTATCAACGTTACTCACCTGCGATGGACAAGCAGCAGAGCTACGAGAAGGAGCAACACAGACCGCCCTCGTCCAGGGACGAAGATAAATCCTCGTGGGACTATACGGACAAAGAAAGAAGAGAATATACGAGATCGCGAGATCCTGGCTACAGGAACGAGTATCGTGAGTAAAGGAATTCGATTTTTTTTTCCAGTGATGGTAATTGCGTAAATTAGAATACTGGGTCAACTGCCGGCTCAATTTAATGTCAGGAATTATGGTGTAAATCATTGGAGACGTGACGCTTAATTGTCCGGATTAGAATTGCAGGTTACTGCAAGCGGTTACTGAAAAGATCTAATCTGTCAAATTGCAATATAATTGCCGGGCAAACTTTCATTCTTCTTGCGTTACAATTTTTTATAATGCTGTCATTTAAAATAACGCTCCCTGTTTTATTTTATATTCGAGATTTTCTCGGGACGATCATCAGATGTAATCGATTAATACAGATTTCCATTCGTCTTTTGTTATTTTCATTCGCGTAAGGATTTGTCATATTTTTCAGTAGAGGATCCGACGAAGCAAGAGCATAAGGAGCAATCGAACTGTGAATGGGTGTCACCGGTGCCGGAAGTCGAGGTAGGACTCGCGTCGCCGGGCGGGCCCCAGGTTCGAGCGCGGAAGGACATTCCACGGGGCGCGAGATTCGGCCCTTTCCTCGGGAAATGGACGAGCGACCCTTACAATCACCTCTTCGCGTGGGAGGTGAGTCGTATTTTCGACCATACTAGCGAGCTTATCGCTTTACTCGTTCAACCGGATTTCGAAAACCCAAGCATGGGTAAACGAATCGAATAGTAGATGTATAGAGGATTTCCGGAAACTGTCGCTGACCTTTCCACTGATTCGCTCACAAGTATTTTTCGACGTGGAATTCAATTGACAAACTAAATACGCATGGTGTATGTAAATGATATAAGATTGTTAATGAAATGTCTGCAATGTCAATAGATATGGAAAATTCTCATATCGTATGATATCTCAATCTTTTTGAAGATGTACATTTTTTGGCAGTTACTTGTATTCTTTATTTCGGAAACGAGAAATTGTGAAACGAGAGATATCAACTCGCACGGGGAACCGTTTGAAAGATGATCGATCTGTTTATGGCTCGGGATCCGGTACAAGGAATATAGTTTGCCCGAAAACCAGTGTCGGCGGGCTCTCGCGATCCTCCTGCTATAATCCCTGGTATTATCCGGCAGATGCCATGCCAAAGAGACAGGAGAGCGAAAAAGCGGAGAGAAAGAGAGAGAGAGGATGCGAGTACGAATCGTCTCCTTGGATTTACGAGCCAGACACCTGGTCGGCCCGTTCGTCGAAGGTGTCATCCATGTTGACAGATCTGTCAATTGCCTCGACTCTCGGACAGCTCTCTCTTTCCGTCTCGAAATTCTATCGCGAGCCTTTCCGCAAGGAGAGACTTCTTAAGTCAACCGTAAAATCAGTGACAGAGTCAGAACCTAAGAACTAGCGTGTGAAATCATTGGAAACTTTCATGTAACGAGTCATCTTGTGGAAAATCGAGTGATTCTAAAAGCTAATTAAGAATATGCAAATGTTTTAATACATTCTTAAGGATGTATTGGCTATACAGTCAATCCCAAAAGTTTATGCACTTTAGAAACGCATTTTTTAAAAAGAAATCAGACATCGGAAGAACATTGCTAATAATAAGCAACAAAAAAAAATTTTCGATTTTTCCGAGATTTTTCCAAGGGATACCCCTTCAATTTCTTCCAAATTTTCGTTTTTGGCCAATAACTCCCAAACCGTTGGACATACGGAAAACTTGCATATGACCTTTCTTGTAGAGGACGACGAGATCTATAATTTCCATACAAAATTTTTTCGCTAGCATCAATA